GACAACCTTCATCACGGCCCCCCTGTTCAGGAGATTGGCCGGGGATCCGCTTTTCGAGCTGGAATGCCGGATTTCCTGCGCGGAAAAAGCGGTTCCCCAAGACAACCTTCATCACGGCCCCCCTTTTCAGGAGATTGGCGGGGATCCGCTTTTCGAGCTGGAATGCGGATTCCAGCTCGAAAAGCGGATCCCCAAGACAACCTTCATCACGGCCCCCTTTCAGGAGGGGTCCGCTTTTTCCGCAGAGACTGTGCTTTGTTTTTCCGCACATTTGGTTGTTTTTTTCCGCTCTGCGGGGTTCGCACGTTTTCCGCGCGCAGCGCCGAGCCTCCTACTAGCATGTTTTGCCTTGGGCTGTTGGACTTTGCGTGTTTAGAGATGTTTAGGAAAGATCTGGGCACTGGATTTTCGAGGCTGAAGATGCTGAAGCAAACTTTGGAACCTTGTTGGCGGGGATCTTCAATTTGGCGTATCCTTTTTAGGGTACTCCTTTTTGGGTTGCTTCAGGGGACCCTAAAAGCAAGGAGACGCCCAATTTGGCGGTTGCCTTGCAGGGTCGTCCTTTTGTCCCGGGAAGGCACCCTTTTCCGCTTGTTGCAGGCGGGTCCAACACGTTTCCGATGTTCATAAATGTCATGTGGGTGTTTCTCACGAAAAGGGGGCCGGGACCCCCAAAATGGCGGTGTTCCTTTTGGTGTTCCGTAAGCCGTTGAAGGGTACCCGAATCGGAGGGCCCGTGAAACTCGCCGTGGCTCTGTTTGCCGAAGAGCCACCCCTGCGGTCCTCCCAAATCAACTCCGAGCTTGGTAGGGGCGACTTGCCAGGTCGCAGCTGAAAGGCGCGCAGCAAGCCAACCGGTGCCTGGTGTGCGCTCCTACCAACATTGCGGTGCAGGAGCGGGTTTTGTTCTCATAGCAGGCCCTTTCTCAAGAAAGTCCGATTTACCCTGAAGGACACCAAAGAGAGATGGGCCGGGTAGTTCTGTTGGAATCGTAGTCGACAACTTGTCACTCCCCCTCAAAACCTAAGAAGAGACAAAGGCATTGTCATGGTGCAAATACTTGTTTTGCTCAAGCCCCCCCTTTTGCACCCAGTGCAGCAATGGCAGGCAGGCCAAGGTTGCCTTCGTTTTGCAAGTGGCAGGCACACTGATCCGGCGGCAAAAACGCCGGGTGGGCGAGGAAGATCCCTGAAATGGGGAATTCGGACTTGTTCTCCCGTTTATATAATTGTATACTGGAGTGTTCCCAGATGGGCATGTTTCTTGGTTGCTCGTTGCCCTGGAGCTTGAAGTTGTGATGCCGCTAGTGAGCAGAAACCAAGTTATTCATTGCGTCTTCGGCAGATCGACGCTATGATCCACACATTCCGGGCCGCGAACAGAGGGTCCTTCCGCTACTTGGACAGGACACCAGGACCCAAACATTCAGCTGTAATTCGAGGATGCCTATACTTCCTGTTGCAAAATGTGGTTACTGCAAAATGCATAGTTCCTATTGCAACTTGATAGTTACGTGCAAAACATGACATGGTTAACATAACTAGTATTGTAACCTAGCTATTGCATTAACACACAAAATAGATGTTAACATCTAGTTCAACGTATATTATTGTTTGGTTCGAACTCGCTATACATACTGATGCCATCCACCTGAAAGAGGAGCTGCTGCTGCGGCTGCTGGACCGGCTGGAGCCCAGTCTGCGCAGCCAGGCGGGAACATGATGCCATCCCGGCACCACGAAGAGCCCAGGGTGCTTGAAACGGGCTTCTGGGAGCCGCCACGCCCTTAGGATTTTCGACTTTGTGGGGCTTAGAGGCCTTTCTGGGGCCACATTGTCCCCACTAAAAGTTCGTTGCTTTTGGGCACGGGATCAACGAACCGAATGGGGATGCCCACATAAAAGCCTCTTTGGTTTTTAAAGGGTCGTTCCTTTGGTTAACGCCGGGGACATAGGCGGCGGTATAATCGGGGTGGTTCCAACCCCCCAGGTTCCACCGGTACCTCTCACGCCATGCCGAGACCACAAGAAGTCCGGGGCGAACTCCAGGGGTCCCTGGAATCAATCACTGGGGCCATTTCTTTGGTGCATTTTGCCAAGGGATGTTCGGACTGAATAACTTTTTGATCCAACTAATGAATTGGTTTTCCGCATTAAACCACTCAAAGTGAGTTAAACTTTCAGCAGGGCTTCGCAGATTTCGCCACCGAGCTCATCACTTCCATTTGCTTAAGAATGTCGTATTTGTTTGGTTTTCCCCCTTGTTGGGTTTTAAAGGGGAATCTGTCACTACTGGCCACGAGCCAGTCCTCTCGCTCAGGTGGCGCTGGTGGCCACCGAGGAGCGCGCCAACGTGGCCTGGGGCGAGGAGGTCTCGCCGGCCTCCTCGGTGCTGCTGGACCACCGGCGCCTCGGCTTCGCTTCGCGAACCGACGAAGCGGCTCGGTCCTGCCACTCGGGCGGCCCAGAAGATGTGAAGAAAAAACGCTGCCCCGGGGAATTTTCAGGGGATGGATGGCACTGCTGGAAGGTTCTTTCACTACTGGAAGTAGGGTTTTGTTTTTGGGACTTCCTGGGGCGGCCCAGAATCTGGCTGTGGCGCAAAAAAAGCACCCAGAATATGGCACCTTGGTTTTTGTGGGTGTCAAAAAGACGAAAACCTGCGGCCACACTCATATGTGAAAAAAACGCAGCCTCGGGTTTTCAGAGGATGGTTCTTTCACTATACTGGAAGTATGGTTTTGCTTTTGGGACTTCCTGGGGTGCCCAGAATCTGGCTGTGGCTCAAAACATGAGCACCCAGGATGGCGCCTGTGCAAAACCTGCGCAACCCTAACACTTTGAATTTTGAGCCACAGCCATATGTGAAAAAAACGCATCCCCTGCTTTCAAGGGGGATCGATTTCACTACTGGAAGTATGGTTTTTGGACTTCTTTCTGGGGCCAAGGCCTAAAGCAAATGGAAGTCCAGGGTTCCCTCCATTTCCCTTTCTGGAATCTCGACCCCAACGAGTCAGCCCCCAAAAAGGACTCCAATTGTTTTCTGCAAGGGTCACTGGGCAACTAGAATCAGGTTTGGCCATTAGCAGTTGTCCGTTCGAGCCCGGGAAGATCTTGGAAGAGCTTTCTGGTCAGGGGGTCATTCCTATGCTCCCTAAGGACAAGCATATTTGGGCCCCCTCCCCCTGTCTCACCCTCCCCTCGAAGTTGACACCTCCCGGCGCCCAGGAAGAAGCGCGTCAAGCGGGTGGCGCGGTTCTGGCTGGGCGAGGGCTATGATACCCGGAGGCAGCCCAAGCCTTTCCTGCGCCAGGCGCGAGCGGCTTCGGACGAAGACTTACTTTCGGACGGCTCAGCAGGTTTCTAATCCAAACTTGTTTGGTGGCTTCCCCTTTTTGCAGGGCTGTGAGAAATGAGCACTTCCGTGATACAACAAAGCGAGCCTTCCAAAGACGAACCGACTCCCTTGTGTCACAGTGGGGATAAACCCCGAGTGATCCCACAACCCTGCTTTTTCTTTTTTTGAAATCAACCCCTTTAAAGACTGGCCTGGTGCCGTGGCTCGGGCTTTCCGCGGCGGCACGGGACGCAGGTGCCGTGGCTCTGGCGCTGCGCCTCGCCTGTGGCGGCGCTGCTCTCGGAGCCGGGCCTCGCCTTTGGGCAGTGCCACGCGGCGGGAGGCGGAAGACGGGCGGAGATGGGGGGACGGGAAGAGGGGTGGGGGAGGGGGAAGAGGGAGACCAGGGGAAGAGACCAAAAAGGTGGGGGGGCGAGACGAGGGGGAAGATGGGGCAGGAGACCAGGGGTGTTTAGCTGGACTTGTTTTGTGCCAAACCATTCAATTAAGTGTTCTCAAGAAGTTGGACTTCATTTTTCGGAGGGGTTGAAGTCAAGGTGTCCCAAGCGTGTTCTTTTTTTTGGTTCCTCCCAAAAGCAGCGGTTTCAGTGGAAAACCACTAGGAAATTGACGATCAGCCGGCAAAAAGGGGATGAGGACAGCTGGGCCAAGGAGCCAAGGAGCTGGTGGGTATCCAAAATTGCTTGTGTAGAGGGAGCCAATGGGAGCAGGAGTCCCGCAAGCACATGGAGGAAAAGGGAACTGGGGCAACAGTCCACTCTTCACCGCGCGGCGAAGGCGAGAGACACATCCTTCACTGGGGGGTTGATCTATATTCCTGGCCCCTAAATGAACATGGGCGACTTTTCCCATGTAGTGGGAACTGTCACTCACTCCCCGAGTTCCGTTTCGGACCTTAAACTTTTCGGGTTTGGTTGCCATTGTAACGGTAAACATAACAAGTTCTTCGTCTTCTTCTTTTGCAAATCCACTTGATCGGAAGTGAGGCATCATTTTTTGTGGTTTTCCAACCACGAGGCTTTTGGGGCTTTTACTGGAAGATCCAGAATCCTCCATTGGACACCCCGGCGGTGGGGTCAAGCCTGACATTGTCAGGGCCCTGAACTAGGTCCCCCAGCTAGGTGCCCTTTCTCACTGTTTTTTTTGTTTTGTTTTTGGGCCTTAAAATGGAATACAGAAAAAAAGGGCCCCCTTATTCTAGCCTCTCTACTCAAAAACCTAGTATATAAATCAATCAATCGAGAGCCTCTGGGCGGACCTCCCATGTTCCTTGGCCATCGCGGCCAGGCAGTGGCACGGAGGTGCTCTGCTTCGTGCGGCAGCAGCTGGCGGAGCTTCGGGCCATCATCCTGGGCCAGCTGGACCGCCTGGAGCAGGAGGCGGGGAAATGGATCGGACCTCCTGCTGAAGCGAATTTATTTTTCCCCAGCTGAAAGCTTCGAGGTCTCAGCCCAGATAGGCTCTGGGGTGGTCCGGGGCAGCCCTGAGGTAAGGTTCCACGAGGGTTGCACCAGGGTTCCACCATGGTTCCACGAGGTTAATATGTTTTTGTTTTTCCTGGGGCCTTAACCAAATGGAAGTCGATGATGTTTTGGGAGCCGTCCAGGCGGAAGCAGTGACACAGGGCAAAGCAGAAAGTACGCACCAAACCGCAAGGAGAAGGCAACAAGACTGGTAAGAGCTCAACATTGGGGTAAGTAGGGGAAGGACATGTTTGGCGTTTGGAGAGCGGCAGCATTCAAAGCTTGGGTGGGGCCAATCCAAAGATGTACAATGGGGAGCGAAGCTGAATCTCCACAAAAGAAGAAGTGCCACCAGTTCTAAGGTTCTGAATGACAAAAAGCCATTGGAAGCATTTGGGGGTCCAACAAATCGCCTTTTTGTGTTTCCTCCATGAACCATCTTAACCAGCAATTGTTAACTACAGGGCTCCCCAGTTTATGGATGTCTTGAATGCCAATGCTATTGGCTTGGCACCTCATTGTGTTTTCACTTGCAAACACGTCGGCATACGTCGGCTTTTTGGCAGTGGGTAATAGGCATCAAGTACAATTGGGCGAAATGGAGGGCACACTTTTGTCGCGCTGATGCGTCATCCTTTTCACCCCCTTCACACCCTTCATCTCCAAAGTTCCGTTTCGGACTTTACACGTTTTGGTTTTGCACCATTTTAGCGGCAAACAACAGGTTTGGACTTTTGTCTGGCCCATCCACTCCATAGAACTTCACTATTCTTGTCAAGTCGTTTTTCATATCGTTGTTTTGTTCCCTGCTTTTTGGTGCAGCAGGGGAGCAGAAAGCAAGCGAGTGAAGGTGGGCAGGATGTCAATTCAGCGGGTTTTTTGGGCCAAGTCGTCAGGTGGCCTTTAAAGCGCGGGAGTTCGAGCCCTCTTTCGCCTCGAAGAAGGAAACGGAGGAGCGAGGCATCTGGGGGCTTGGATGGTTGTGGCGGCCTCTCGGGGGGTGGTCGTCTTCAAATTTAAATGACCGTCTTCCAAAAAAGAGAAGAAAAGAAGAATATCAGGACCCTCAGGGCTCTTCGCTTTTTCTATTTTTTAGGACCCTTCGAGCTGCGCCGTGCGCCTTCTTCTTTTTTATGCGGTGGTGCGCGTTTCCCATGAAACCCACCAAGCCACAAGCAACAACAAGCCATCCCCAGGCTCAAGGGTTGCTGAGCCCTGAAGCCTAGGCGGGGTTGGCCCAAACCGCCTGCCCGCTTTGGGCGCCGAACCCCCCCAGTTGGCGCCGAACCCGGCGCCCGGCGCCCCTTTTTGCGAGGCGCGGAGGGCAGCATCTTCTCGAAGCTGGAGGCGCTGCGGAACTGCCTGCAGCACTTGGCCCAGCTGCTGCAGGCGTGGGGAGCTGGACGACTGGACGAAGTCCTGTTTCCGCCCGAGAAACTCGGGTTCCTGTAAACTGGGTCCCCCAGCCAGGTGCCAACTTTTACCATAACTGTTTTGGTTGGGAGGGAAATCCCCTACTAAAATAGACTGCAGAAAGGGTAGCCTTATTCTAACCTCTCTGCAGGAGGACCTAGTGTAAACTCCAGGCAACACTTCACTGTTCCTGGCAAGTTGTGTGGTAGTCCTACGACATACACACATGCAGCACACATGTGGATCTTCGGTTTTTTGGTTGTGTGAGTTTTTAGTAGGGGGCTGCAAACAACTATGCATATTTTGCGCTCCCCTACCAAGGGGTTGTGAAGCCAACCAACAATGGTTTCGCATGTTTTCCACCCTGTAGAGGGAATCACGGACGGGTTGGTTGTGGGAGCCCTGGCCTTGGCCATGAGCCACTGAATCCCACACAAAGAGGTGTGACCATATGGCAGATTTTTCATGTTTGCCGAAAGGGTTTCCTTTTGGACAAGGCCCCAAAAGAGGTACTCTCAGAAGGACCTCACACCGAGTATGCTGCTGGTGTGCGTTATATACGCATGTTGCTTTGGGAGTTGTTTGATTGGTGTGTTTTTGTGGCTTGTTCAACACAGATCTTTAATCCTCATGCCAGCTGTTGTCCAGCAGCAAGTGCGCATGCTCCTCTTGGAAGGCTATTGTGCTCTTGAAGTCCTCTTGCAAAGGGTAAACCTTAATGTTTCTTCCACTTTGTATCTTGAACATCGTCCCTGTTACAGAATCCTCAGAAGTACAACGCCGATTTGCGCACATGTATTGTGATGATATGACAAACGCAGATATACGTCTGCATTTGCATACCGGCATTAGACAAATGTGGATGTTCTGGCAGACCACCCGCCGCACTCAAAGGAAACTTCGCATGAATCTGGACCGTGCTAGCCTATGAACAGATTTTGCACAAGGCCAGCATCCTGATACACGGTCCTCCAGGTTCTGAAGTTGACATTTTCCTGACTTCACTGTTGTTGGTCTGCTCATTTTCAGGCGGCAGCAAAAAAAGTCGATTGTTCAATGCTTGTCGGGTCCTTCTTCTTAAATTTAGGCAAAGGTTTTTGGGCTGTAAAACCCAGCCAACAAATTTGCACACCTTTTGCATACCTTTTGCATACCTTACAGCCCAGTTTTTTGCATACCTTTTGGGCTGTAAATTTCTGCCTTCGGTTTGCCCCGGGCGCTCGAGGCCACCCTCGCGCTGTGGCGGGTGCAGCGGCCGCCCGCCGGCGCCGCTTTCGCCTCCTCCGAGCCGCCGCCCTCCACCGGCGCCGGGAGCGCCGAGCCGGGCGCGGCGGCGCCGGAGGGGGGGCAGTACAGCTTCTCCATGGCGGAGCGGCAGCGTGGGGAACTTAGGCTCGCTTTGCAGGAAGTTGCTGTTGCGGACGCTTTTTTTTGGGATGAATGGGGAGGCTCCTCAGTTTGCCGTTTTCTTTTTGCTTCTTTTAAAACCCTGGTTGTGTGGGTGAAGATGGTACCCAACCATAAGGCATGGAACGTGGTGTTGGGTTGTTCGGTGGATTTCCGTGTATTTGCCGCGGATCTCCGCAGACTTCCATTCCTAACTTCTGCTCATGAAAATGGCACCGTGCGAAGGCCCCCGTGCGAAGGGAACCCCACTGGCGCTCTGCATGACGAAGATGAGTGGATGAGCCAAAAAAGTCCAGCTGGTTCACCACAGAGCGCTTTTTGAGCCCAAAAAGTGACTAAAGTCCAGCAACACAGGAGGAAGCGGAAACTGGAAAACATTTTCCTGCTGAAGCCTTACACATTGGTTATTTCTAGCAGACAAGACTACATACCTTTGAATTGCGTTGAAGCTTGAAGCGAGTCTATTTGAAACCGAGTTTCAGTTTTGGGGGGGTGATGGCAAACGTGGTAAAGCGGAAGACAGTTGTGACCATGGACATAATTGTTGAGTGGCTTCAAAACCCGTATTTCCATGGCCGAGGCGCCTACGAGTGCGTGATCTGGGCGGCAGAGGACAGGAAGCGGTTGGAGGAGCTGGCAGAGCTCTTGTCTCTGGAGGCGTGGGAAAGTTTCGGCGTAGACCCTTATGTTGACTCGTGTTTTGTTGCATCTTTCGATTGCTTTTGTTTGGGAAGGTGTGTGCGCTCACACTTCAACACAGTAGCATTCGGGTCCGGGCCTCCCCAAGGCAATGCTGCCGTAGGGAGCCCTGCACGGATTGGGCCATGTGCAGGACATGCGCTGAGAACAGGCTTCGGCCGCTTCGGCTCCAATTCGCAGAAAAAGCGCGCTTTCGAGAAGGGGGGCCATTCGGAGGAATCCTTTCTTGGAATAAGGGGGGGTCCATTCTTGGCTTGGTTCAGGGGTGGGGTTCTTTGTTTGGGGTTCCTTCCTTTTGAGAGGCATGGGCAGGGGGCTGCGAGGGGTGGGTCCTCGAGTCCGGGCTGCCAGGCCCTCCCACCGGGTGGTCGGGGGCAAGCGGCACGCGAGGCCCAAGAGGAGGCGACGCAAAAGCTCCCCGGCTGCCGTGTAAGCACCCAGTTGCCCAGTGCCAAGACGCACGCAGACAGACACACAGAGACAGACAGATGCACGGAGTCCTTTATCTGGGCTTCAAATCTACCACCAAAAGTTGAGTGTTTGTTTCCTTTTTTTTCCCGGTGGCCACTCCTGAGTTTGCCTGGCCAGTCCTAGGTTGTGGCCCCGCTCGTAAAAGTTTTCAGATAGGTCCGGGGGTGGCGCCTGGAAATGCTGCACAGCTCTTCGCTGTACCTAGTACCCTTGGCCCCCCCCGAAAAGTCGAAGAAATATGATTCCTTTGCAGATCGTGCTCGGGTCCCCATCTCAAAAATTCCCGTGGAACCAGGCACCGAAACGACGAAAACCATCCCGCGGGAGGCTTCTTGAGAAGCTCGCCGACTCGCAGCAGAGCTGAGGTTCGCCAAGGCGGCCAAGAAGCTGCGGGTGCTGGTGCATCCGGACAAGGCGCACCCCGAGATGAAGGAGACGGGATGGAGGGGGGAGGTGGGGGGAGGAGGGGCTGGGCTGTGGGTGGTGGCCGGGGTAGCCGCTGAACTCCTGATTTCACAGGGTGTTCTCTGCAGGATCCTTTCACTATCTTTCACTTTTGAGGTCCTTGGCAGAGTTTGGAGTTGCCCGTTACAACCCGACTGGCGTCGTTGACTGGAGGGTTTCTTACGCTTTCCTTACCATAGGGGTGATTCAACCAGACGTTGCAGGCCCAAGTGGATGTCCGGATTCCTCGGGCTGCTGCTAGCCCCGCCACAATGTTGACCCCATATTAATAAACCCCATGTTAATAGCGGGGTGGGGGCCTCTCCAACAGTTGTCTGATCCCCACGAATCACACGGTTGGACACCCCCTATGGCAGACTGGTTTTGACTCATATGGGGTCAACATCACCCTTCAAGCAGGACATGGCGTGCCTGGCGTCCCAGCACATCGACCCAGCCCTGGCCGCGCTGCGCCAACATCTCAAGTTCCGAGAGGCGAAGGGGCAACCCACGGTGCCCAGGGCACCCCAGGCGGGGGTTGGCCAAGTTTGTTGTCGTGGGGAAACCAGCAGGTGTTCAACCAAGGCTGGGCCCACCCTGGATACAGGTTTCCATACGTTTCCTTTTGGGGGATCAATTTTTCTTACTTTAGGCTGGTCACCCAGCGAAGTGTTCTCAGATGATCAGTGGCTCGGATTAGGATTTGTCTTGAGCAGCCCCTTTTAGTTTGGTGGCTTCTCAAAAAAATGAGAATCTTGGTCACGGTTCGGGTCACTGGTTGCAGCTGGTTAGGTCAGGATTTTTTGAGAGCCCTGAAACTTAGTCGTTTTCCTTCTTTTTGCTCAACGCGGCCAACGGCCAAATCCACTCGGCCTCGCAAAATTCCGCCAGGAGCCTTCGTTTCCGGCGGGGAAGGTGGTCTTGCATGAGCTCTTGTCCTGCCTGGATGCCGCGACCCAGAAAAAGCTGGAGGAGGTGCTGGAGGTGCGCTCGCAATGGGGAAGTGTGCGGTGGGACAGACTTGGCTTGGGGGTGCCTCTCTCTTTTCTTGTTCGTTGTTTTTTTTTGGATTCTTTTTGGGGTGCTCTGAATGGAAAAGGAAAACGAGTTTCAACTAGAGGTCCCCAATTTTGGAGACAACCCCATTGTGCAAGCTTTCTTGGGGGACTCGTTCGCGCTTTTTGGGGTGGTGAAGGGAAACAAAGGAAAGCAATTCCAATGTCCCTTCCAGATGGACCTCGGTCCTCCCGCTGAGGCTCAGGGCTGCTCACGAGCGATTTTTTTGGTTATGCTACAGGTGCCTGAAAGTACCCCACTTTACAAGCCCATTGGAGTGGGGGACGACTAACCATTTAACCCCCGATCTGGACACAAGCTCAGCGACGTCTTTGGGGGCTTTGGAGAGCCAATGCCAACGCCTGTCTGAGCCCGACGGTGAAGCAGAAGAACCGGAAAAACCTCGATCTTTGGGGGGGTTGCACGGCCCAAAAAGAGAAACCCCGGCGTTTTCCGATCCTAGGGTGCATTTCATCCCACCGGGTTCCATGGTGTCCCAAAACGTTAATTCCTGGAAATTCCTGGCGGTCCCGAAGGTAACTACTGAGTTTAGCCTCCCTCCCACTAACGTGGCACTTGACAGGGGCCCGGTCGCTTTGAGAGGAAACTGATCTTCCAGGTATGCAGGTGCCATGGAAATGTGGAAAGCAGGGTAAGTGGCAACGGATCTTTGGACTTCAACTTTTTGGTTGCAACCTTGTTGATTTCCGCCAGAGGAGGTTCAACTGGGCTAAGACAGTGTCACCCAAAATGGAGGTCTTTAGGAAATTCTCTAAGTTTAGGCCTAGTCCAAAACGGAGCCCAATAAATGTTTGGGGGGTTTAAAAGGAACTCCTTTCCCTTGGAAAAAATATGGGAATCCTTCGATGTCCACCAACATGTTTTTCCCCCTTCGACATGGTTGTTCAATCACTTAGCTGCTAAAACTTAAAATGTTGCCCCTTTCCAACGTCAAAAAGTATTTGGGCATCCTTTGCCTTGCAAAAACCCGTGGGAATCCTTCTAATGTCAACCCTATGAAAATCCTTCTGAGGTGTCAACCAAAAACATATGGCCGTGGGTCAACACCAATGGGATCCCATTTTGGGGTAGGTGAGTTCACCACCCATTTTAGAACCGATTTTAGTGGTTGGATTGGTTGATGTTCACTAGGGGGTAACCGGGGATTTTGACCCATAGCCATATGTTTGCCCAAATCCCCAAACAGTTTTTAAAACAAACAAAATGCCGGGGGGGTCCTTCCAACCAAGCCACACCTAGAACAGCTTTCGGCTTCGAGGTGCACCAAGAGCTGCAGACGGCCTGCCTCATGGTCCGCACCTGCCGCTCTGACAAGCTGAAGAGCGCCCTGCTGCGGCGCTGCGCCCTGGCCGGGGCGCCCGGCGTTTGGCGGCGCCGTTTGGGCGCCCGGGGGTTTGGCTCCCCGCCCTTTTTCCCGGGGTTCCTTGGTTGGGCGGAAGCCCTTGGAGCAAAAACCCGCTTTTTGGTTGTTGTTTTTCTTTTTCAGTCACACCCGGAAACTAGGCCCCCCCAGCTAGGTGCCCTTTCTCACCCCTTTGTTTTTGGGGGGGGAGGGGAGCCCCCTACTAAAATAGACTACAGAAAAAGGGGTATCTTTATTGTGCCCTTCTCACCCCTTTTTTGGTTGGGAGGGTTCCTTTACTAAAATAGACAAAACATAAAAAATAAAAAATGGTACCAACTTATTCCAACCTCTCAAATCTGGAGGACCTAGTTTCCGCGGTTTTGTTTCTGGGGCTTCCCCCGCGTTTTTTTTTTTTTGCGGGGAAACCCTGCAGCTCCTGGCGTTTCTTTGGCTTTTTTCTTGGAGGTTTTCCTTGAAATTTCCTCACGCTGGGCTTCCGTGGCTTGAGGGGAAAAGCCACTTGCCCAAGGCGAATCGACCTGAAAGGACCTTTTGGTTTTCCCATGTTTGCTTTTCCATTTTTGGTGAAGGTCCCAAAAGGTGATCACCTTTTATTTCCAGGTCCATAAGGGGCAAGTGAGAAAAATCAACCTGCCTTCCCACCCTTTTCACCCGAGTTTTTTTGGGGTTCCCCCGTCGGGTATCGCGATTTTTTGAAATAGAATAAACCAATCAACACATGGAACCTGACGTTGGGAAATGGTATCCGTGAAAGGAAAATGGTCCAAACCAGGACCCCCCTGTTAGGCTCCATGTTAATCGTTGGGAGGATAGGACTTCTTGGTTCACACATGAGGTTCAGGTGAGGCAGGCTCTTCCTTGGTAATGTGGACCCCGGATCTGAGTAGAACCCGTCCCAAATTCCAATTGCTTCAGAATATATATATATATATATGCCTCTCTGTTTGAAGGGGAAGCTATCACTGCTGGAGATATGTTCTCATTTGTCCAGGGGACTTACGAAAATGGAGGTTAATGGGGGTGGGGACCCCCCTCGCAAATTCAACCAGGGTTTATGACAAAAAATTGGGAAGGTACGGCTAGAGTGTTTTGCGAGTTTCGTCTAGAAATTCCTGTAGGCTACGAACTTTGGTTCATCCCAAGGCCTTTGAGAACAACAACAAACATAGGTGTCCTTTTTGGTTGGTTTGCTTCAAAAATAGAGGGCCCTGGTTTAGATGGGGTTTATTCCATTCACCAGGGCCGTCCATTTTTCCTATGAACAAAAACCATTTCCGTCCGAATCGACGCCCAGATCTTCTGCACTCTCACGGTGGCGGGGCGCCGCACGGTGGCGGTCCAGCAGGCAGGATTCGTTGATTCGGGGCGTCACCGTGTGAGCAAACCGAGAGATGGCGTGGCGTTTCTCAAAACAGGGGCACCCCGAAATTGGTTTTCCCGCTTGGTTTCCTTTTGAATACTAGGTAACCGAAAAGGGTTGCATTTACAGGGGAATTCAATTTAATCGTTTTCATTGAAACGATCAGTTTCCACTTGTGGAGATTCCAACTCGGAATCTCCACGTGGTGGTCATTTATGTTGGCGAAAAGTTGGGACTTCAGCCCTAGAACATGTGTTTGATTGGTGTGATGATACCTGCACATTTTGCGAGGACACGTAGAATCAGGATGGAAATTGCAAATATTATCAAATAAGTACTTGCCACACCTGCAACAGCGAGTTGAAGTTCATCGGAAAAATGGTAGCTGTGCGTACCAAAACGGCGAATCAGAGTTTTGGTCATTCAAGGGAGTTTCCCAAGGTTGTGGTGCCAACCATGGTTTCACAGGTGGCGCGAACTGAGTGTGTCTTTTTTGGGGGACCCAAAATGGTGGCTTTTCGCCGTTTAAAACCACCAAAACCAAGGGGCTTCCCCCCCAAAAAAGGATGCCCAGATGGATTTCACAGCCACTCTCAAATGGTTCACCGGTCAGCTCCGGCACCGCGAGGTGCCTACTTTGCTCCTTGATGAGGCGTGTCAGGCGCGCTGGTGCCGGTGGGGTCTGGTGGTGCCCGATTTCAGATTCATAAACGCATGTTTACTTTGTTGCATTTTGGCTGGATGTTAGGACCTTGACTTTTGGCCAACTAATGGCTAATGGGTTTTCCATTAAGCCACTAAAAGTTCCACTTTGAGCAGGGGAGCAGAACGCAACCGAGTCTGCTCATATGGGGGTGTTGAACCATTTTCTCGTTTTTTCCACGGGACTTGCGCAGATTAACGGGGGTCAACGGGGGTGACCCTAGCAGTAAACGGGGGTGTGTCAATCCGGGGTTGCCAGTCAAGGGCATCTGGGGGAACATGTCGCCCCTTGGAGCTCCAGTCGCTCCATTGAGTTTGGTTGGAGTGTGGACTTTTCCTCCACGCGCCTGCCCGTCCAGGTCAACCTTTCAGCTGGTGGTTGGAAGTTGGAAGGGGGGCCGTTATGGAGCAGGGGGTATGAATTTTTCGTTTTGGAAGAAAGAGGAAATGGGCGACCGATCGGAGTTCTGAGGGACATGCTAGTATCTCGTCCTTTGGGCTGGAAGTCGAAGGTCGGTTTGCAAATGGTCAAAGCATCTTGTGGCGGTCGGGATTCTGGAAATCCACGGGCACCTGTTGAGATGGACAAATCCCAATACGGTGAGTAACAATCAGCTAGCACGTGCGTACCCCCAGTTGTGGCCCACCCATCTCCAGGTATGTGCTACCTGCCCGTAAGTGTTGGATGTGCTTACTGGTTGTCACTCACTACACTGCGCTTTGCACCACCTGGTGCAGGAGCGCCGGGAAACATCGCATGTTTCCTGCGAGGCTGAAATAAGAGACTTGAACCCTCAACTTTACTGAAACCTATCAAGCCAAACCCTATTGGTGAGCCGTTCTTTGGATGGCTTTGACGGGGAGGTCCAAGGGAGTCCCAAGATTGGGTTGCAGCCCACTCAGCTGAAGAGGTGAACGTGAGAAGAGGAGAGTCCTGTAGGTTCCACCCTTCAAATCCCTTCTTGCTTACTGGCTTCCACGCAAAATGAGAACCTAGGGGGCCAGCATTGATTCAGTCTTGCTCTTGGGTTATCTTACCTCTTAAAAACAAACAACTTTTCTCAAACTCTTGGGGAAACATGGGCTATATGTCTGTCAAAGATGAGAACTTCCCCAGGGCGCAGGGAGTTTTACGGGGTAAGGAGGTGACCCTCAATTGGTGGTTTGGATTTGGATTCAAAGCCTTAGGGGAACCCAACCCTCAACCTCCAAGCCACCAACTCAAACCAATTGGAGGGAAGCTGGAAATGCTCTGGGGTTTTCCTTTGAGCTTCAGGCCTGTGAAGCCGAGACCTTGACCGCCATGCGCCACACGGCGCCTTGAGCCCAAGAGAGCCCGAGGGGCCTGGAGCTTGGCTCAGGTTAGTTGTGGGGTTCCCAGTCAAAAAGGCAACGAACAAGGCAACCCCCAAGAAGAAGAACCCAGACATTTTTTTTTTTACCTTGAGGTAATACTGTGGGCTCCTTTTGCTTGCCTGAGGCAACCAAGCAGCTTCCATTGGCTGAAAAGAGTATGTGTTGTATGGTCCCCCTGTTGGGTTTAAAGGGAATTTATCGCCACCGGAAAAAGTTGAGGATGCGAGGTAAAACTGTGCACGGGCAAAAATCCACTTCGCACCAGTTAGGATGGACCAATCCCCATGAAATTGTTGGATGAACCACCTGCCAACTTGGTGCGAAGTGATGCTTTGCAGCCAGGAAATACTGGCCTTAATCATCAGAATGGGGTTGTGGGACCCACGGGGATATTCAACCATGATCGAAAGAGCATGATGTGTGTAATTGGTTAGCCCCATCCATTGACGACCTCAGCCTAATTTACGTCGAGAGATTCCTCTCGCGGTACGCAGCCCTGAAGCAACCCTGCCATTTCAGGGGTGGACTTCAACCAGTTTTGGTTGCCCCGGCGCCGGCGATTTAAAGATTTGCAGTACTTCACGAGCCTAGCTGGTGGTTGGAAGGGAAGAGGGGGGTATCCAAATTTGCCTTTGAAGATGGAGCTGTGGGGCTACCAGCGAGGCTCTGCTTCTTTGTTGGGGGAGGTGGCAAGATTGTGGGCACAAAAACAAACGTTGAGCCGATGTACCATTATTTGGATGGTGGAAGTTACAGTAGAACATACACGGGTGCATTTCCCATTTGTTTGGGGGCATGGCGGGGCGTTCCGGCTGGACTTGTTTGCTACCTGCTGCCATTCCACATAGCCTGGGACATGCGTGGTGCGCAAGCTTTGGGTGGCCACAGGCGATAACTAAGATCAGGACTTGTCCAAAGCAAGCAGTGAACCAGGTAGTCTTGCCTCTTCTGGCAAGCGGTGCCAGCTCTCGGTCCGCCCTTTCCTAAGTAAAGAGGTTCCGTGATTTCCAGTTGTGGAATAATAAGCATGATAACAAGCATCACTTAAATAGTAACTACCATTCTTCGCATTCGCATTTATATGTTTTATCATGATCAGGATGCTCATTTTGTTGTTGTTATGCGCATGATTTTACCACAATAATAATTTACCATTGTACATTGCCCTTATGCGGCACCAAGCGGAAACCGCTTCTTGCACTTTTCTCCCGTACGCCCACCTCATTCTTGCCAAAGTCAAGCCACCCGTGAATCGCCCCAGGTGCAGCGCATGTTTCTGGTGGGCGACCCCAGACAGCTCCCGGCCACCGTCGCCTCCACTGCCGCGAAAAGCGCCGGCTACGCCCGGTCCATGCCAGGGACCCAATTGACCCGTCAAGCGATTGATGGGAGGCGACCGAGTTCCCTCGCCGGGTTTTTTTCTGGTTTCGTTTTGTTTCGGCGGCGCCCTCCCTTAAACACAAGCCAACAGGGGGCCATTATGAGAAACTCCCAGGTGAGCGTTCCTTTTTTTTTAAATATGTGTGTCTGAGCCACTATGTCCCCAGCCATGTCCACACATACCCATATTTCCCATTTGGTTCAATGCTTCAAACATGACCTTTTTCGTGGTTAATGTCAAGTGACTGCTAGGGGAAAGGTCCGGGAGTTTGAGTGGGCTTGCTTTCTCGGACCCCTCGTTCAGAGTCAAGAGTCAAGTTGTTGAGTGAAGGGGAGGGTCAGGCCCGGGGACGTTCCCAAACAGTCAGGAGCCTTTTACCAGACTGATCGCTTACCTTCTGCGACTGCAACCCCCCCCCCCCCCCCCTCCCAAAAAAAAACAAAGAAAAAGAACCAAAACAACAACAACCAGCAACAATAATAGGTGAACCGCCGTCCAGAGCGCATTTTTGGGGACTCAGATGGGGGAGAACCCGAGCCAAAGCTCCTAAGGCGCAATGCAGTCACAATCGAAGGTCAGGGTTTTTTGGAGTAACTTCCATTGCTTGGAACCTCAAAAAGGGGAAACCGATCCTTTCAATGAACATCGCCAAATCCAGTGACCTTTCGGGGAGATCCGAAAGCTTGCGGCATATAACTTACCAACTCGGCCAGCTTCCCTCGAAAGCCCCGGCTCCCTTGCCAGGGGGACTGAGAACCAGGCAGCATGCGGAGACTTATTTTTGACAGGGAATCCGCTGGCTTTTCCACAACCCCATAAGAAACGGAGGAGACCCTTGTTGCAAACAAGCTTTACCTGCGCACGCCACAAAACCATGGTTTCAATTACAGCAAGTAAGGGGCCTTGCTTGCGATGGTCACCAATAGGTTATAACCCATCTAGGCCCCCGTTCAGTGAAGGTAATCCTGTTGGGTTAAAGCCCAGGGTAGCCGTTTTTTCTATCTTGGCGAATCGAAGACCCAAGCACCAATCCCAACCACCAAAGGCCTCGATTTGCTCAAGTCCCCAGAATAAGATACGCCCAGTCGTGATTTCCTTTCTCACGGTCCGTTTTTTGCGGCTTGTCCCGTCCGTGAGAAAACTTCTCACGTCTAGGTTCGAGCGCCTGGAGCAACTGGGCACAGAGACCAGCCTGCTGGAGATCCAGTACCGCATGGAGGAGCCCATTTTGCGCTGGTCCAACGAGAGCTTCTACGCAGCTCGGAAGTTGGCCTCGCTTTGGCGTCACTCTGTTTGGATCAAGTTGTCGTTTCTCCGTTTTTTTGTTCGGTTCTGTTCAGCTGCAAGAAAACAAGGCATGTTTGCAACCATACCTTGGAATATCCAATTTGCTGTTAAAGAGGGAGCCTTTCCGAGCACCGATCGACTGGTTCCTTTTGGCCATGGGGCATAAGCTATGGCTCCATTTTGGAGTGGATGAACATCGATTTGCCACCTATTTTAATGTTCACCAGGGGTACAGGGTTCTGACCCACAGCCTTTGGTGCCCGGCAAGCCGACCAAGTGGCGAGAACCGGCAAGGAAGCGTGTGGGCTTGTTGGGCGACGCGTTTTGAGGCCCTACATTTGTTGCGGCCAGCCATCCAATTAATTGGGGCGAACCACACAGGTGGTTGGGAAAACCACACATTTGGCTCAAGGTTGGAGGAAACCGCCTGAAGCACCAAGAAGAAGAGAGGTCTAAGTAGATATCCGCTTTTTGGCTGTCAGTTGAAGTCCCAGCCACGGAACATTCTCAGTTCCCGCATGCATCATACCTTAGCGTGGCTTTGCAGCTGACGCGTGGTTTACTCACTACTGGCCTTGTTTGGGTTCGGGCCATAATTTGTGCACTCAGGAAGGGAGTTTACCCCCGACTCCAATCATGCCTGTCTGTTTTAAGGGTATTTTTGGACAACCAGGACCTCCGTTTGTAGTCAAGGATTCACATCACCATCATACCCTGAAAAAGGTGGCTTCTATTTCCTTAAGAATGTTTCTTATTTCCCCCAGATAGTTTTAAAGGGAACTGGACATATGTTCTCATTTTGTCCAAAAAGCGAAAACGCAAACAGATGGGCATTGGGTGCTTGCTGTACTGTGGATGGTTGCGAAATCTGTTCGCACCATCGAAGATACCCTGGAATGATGATCCCTGTGGAAGTGCTTAAGAGGGGCAGGATTTCGTCCACAGTACATGGTTGTTGTTGGGAAGCATTTTACATTTTTGCTTGTTTTGGTTTCGTGGTTGAAATCCCCACTTAACTGCAAAAAATCAAACAAATGTGCTCCCTTTTTAACGTCAACCAAGAGAATGCCGGGGGCATTTGCAGCTCCCTGAACGCCGTAGCTCAGGCGGACCGAATTCAGACCTCCGCCTGCGTGCTGCGGCGAAAAGACGTGGCGCCGGCCACGGTCAAGGCCCACCCCAAGCTGCAGCACCGCCTCGGGCCCTTCCGCCTGCCCCGCGGCGGGGAGGGGGGCCGCGTGGTTATAGGTCGTTGACCTTGGATGAAAGAAGGCGGGGTCGAAATTCAGAAACTAGTTTATATAGTTTGTATATTTGTATAATATACAATATGCACAATAATATTTATATATATATCTATATCTATCTATCTATCTATCTAATCTAATCTAATCTAATCTAATCTAATCTAATCTAATCTAATCTAATCTAATCTAATCTAATCTATCTAATCTAATCTAATCTAATGTAATGTAATCTAATCTAATCTCCATCTAGTCTAATCTAATCTAATCTAATCTAATCTAATCTATCTATCTATCTATCTATGTATTTATCTATCTATCTATCTATCTATCTATCTATCTATCTATCTATCTATCTATCTAATCTATCTATTTATCTATCTATCTAATCTAATCTAATCTAATCTAATCTAATCTAATCTAATCTAATCTAATCTATCTATCTATCTAATCTATCTATCTATCTATCTATCTAATCTAATCTAATCTAATCTAATCTAATCTAATCTATCTATCTATCTATCTTTGTATATGAAATTTAGGGGGAGTTGTTCCCTCCAAAACCCCAAATCTGGTGTGCCAGTTAGGGGAAGAACCTAGGGACCCGACAAACCAAGAAGGGTTTGGAAAGACCTAATCATTAGCCCCAGGTGTACTTTTGTTAGGTTGGTTCAAACAGCAACAAGAAGGACACCCACCTTTTTTTGGGGGGGGGGCCCTAGTTGCATGTACCCGTTCACCCTTACCTGACCTGTTTTGCTGACTGTGTTTTATCTTTGCTTCTTTGTTGGTCTCCGTACTTGTTTGGTTGGCACACTTTGTCGCTCTTTGAGGATAGAATTCTTCTTTGTTTGAGACAGGTGCAAAAGGTTGAAGCTGCTGCTGGCAATTCCTGGCCAGTTATTGGAGAAGAGCAGTTTGGGGGGGAGTGGGAGCAGGAGGGCATTCTTGCCGCGAACATGACTTCTGAAAGGGAACGGCGGGCCATTCTGCACATGTTCAGAATCTTCGGGCTTGCATGTGGGTTTCCCTTCCAAACTACCAAAACCAGTGCATTGGATCTGGGCAAACTATCGTGCGCTCACTGTAAACAAGCTCATGCAAAAAGTTTTGAGAGCAATCTGGACAGTTGTTGCAATTAGAACAATTTGCGCAGATTGGATGTAGTTTTCTTAGGCCGGAGCTCGGCATCCTGATGGGTTGCAACTGGGGTTGGACGGGGTTGGAACACGAGGTTCGACACTCGCCATGAGGGGTGGAAGGAGGAGCAGGCGGGGATTCTGGCGAGCTGTTCCTTACCCGATTCGAGGCTACGCCAAAGTGGAAACCAACTTGAAGCAGGTTTGATGGCTGGGGGGATAGCTGGCAGCTCAAAATTAAAGAGCTAGGGCAAACCGCAGGGTTTTGGTCCAGGTTTCCACTTATGGCAACCCATTTTGGAATTCCGGTTTTTTGAGCCATACCCGCTTGAACATCCCGCTTGAAAGCCTGATATACCCGCGAATGCCTGGGCCGAGACACGAATCAGCCGTCCCACCTCCACAAAGCCTTCCCCACCCCCCCCAGCCCTAAGGCCTTACCACGAGCATTTCTCGGGGCCATGAGAAACCATCTGCAAAGTTTGGAAGGTGTCCAAAACCCGAACTCTCTTCCTGCGGGGTGCCAAAAACAGACAACCACCAAAAGGTCTTCCCAAAATAGATCAGGTCCAGGAACCCAGGGAGTAAGAATTGGATCAAGCAAGCAGCCACTTTGCTTGCCAAGGGTTCCAGGTCCGTGGTGGCCGGTGGCCTTCAAAAAAAGGGCCATCTCTTGACTGCCTATGGCCATGTGGTTTTCCCTTCTTGGCATCAAAAGAAATCGATTTTTCACTGGACATATGCTCTCATTTTTAACCAGGCGAACATGCACATGAATGTAGTTGCTTCATGGTGTTGTGGTCTTGATTGCCATTGGGGAACGGATCTTTAGACTTTAGCTTTTTGGTTGAAATCAAGTTGGGTTTTCCACTAAACCCTCAAAAATAAACACTTTTTGCAGGGGGGTCAACAGCAACCAAGATCTATTCCAGCTGTTGGCTTCTGTCCGACAAACTCCGTTCTTCAAGACCCTCTAGGGAAGGTGACTGCCTGGGCGAGAGAACTCCGGAGAGTCCCTGAGGTCCGGTTCTCCTTCCGGAACCAGGGGGAGGCCGACTTTGTGATGAGGCTGATCCATGACTTCATCCAGCACTGCGACAGAGAGGTGTCGGATGGTTGAAGATGCCCACCTCCAGCGGACACATTTTCTCGTTTTTGTCAGGGGCTTGAGCAGGCGGAAGATGGCAATTCTCGCTCGTTGGTATGGGTGGCACCCCCGAAAAGGGACCGGGATGGGTGCATATCCCAGTGAAGCCCTGGTTGAGGAAGCCAAAGGGAAACCATTTTTTTTTGGGAGGAGGAGTTTCCTTGCTCCCTAGCCATACGCTTCACTTCCTTACAGGATCCATTGTTCTCACTTGACCGGCCGGCAGGGATTTGTGCAGGGCGACCTCATTTTTTTTGCGGGACCCATTGCAAGGAGGCGTGGGGGCGCTAAACTCCTAAACTCTTTTAGACCAAAGCGAATCGAGTTCCGGGGCCCTTGCCCAGTTGTTTGACAAGGCGCCCCGTGTCCTTTTTCATCTTTTTCCCCATGAAAAAAAAGCTCATTCCCTGAGTTCCTGGACCTTCTGTTGGAGAAGGCCATGTTGTGGTAAACTCACTTCCTGAGTTCATGAACTTTAATTTTTTGGGAAGACCTTTTTAGTGGTAAATATAAAGTTTGAGCTTTTTTTGGGCCATCCACTCAGCAAGTGAGTAAACCAAGGCTTCGGACTGGTTTTTGCAAGTCCACTCGATCCGAAGTCCACTCGAGCGATTTACCTAAGATCCGGTTCCAGCAGTCTCACAGGGTGACCCAAAAATCGGAGGAAGTGAGGCGCCGGACCGTACTTCTGGACCGAAGCTTTTCCTCACTTGCCCAAAGCGAATCGACCTGAAATGACCTTTTGGTTTTCTCATGTTGGGTTTTCCATTTTTAGTGAAGGTCCCAAAAGGTGATCACCTTTTATTTCCAGGTCTTTAAGTGAGTTTCTAGACAATAGGAGCCACTGTCACGGTTGGAAGTGGGCTAAGTAAGGCCTAATTTCAGTGATACCAAAAAAACACCTTCAAAAGTGACAATGAGGAGGGAAACTCCAAAGCCAGCCGAAACTCACTCCAAGCTGACCACCCCTCAACCAGTTGAACTCCGGTACCTCGGCAGACGAAGGCCTTCGCCAGCTCCGCAGGTGACCATAGGGATCATCACCCCGTACCGTGCCCAAGTGGAGCTGCTGAAGGAGCTGCTGGACACCAAGGCCAACGCGGGCTCGAGACGCTAACTGGGGTAGCAGACATGCGGCAGCCGGGTGTTGCATACAAAGGGCACTCACGCACCATACGCACACGCACACGCACACACAGAGAGACACACAGAGACACACACAGACACACAGAGACACACAGAGACACACACAGACACACACAGACACACACACAGGCACAGACAGGCACAAACAGGCACAGACAGGCACAGACAGGCACACACACAGACACAGACAGGCACAGACAGGCACAGACAGGGGCCCACAGACACACACAGACACACACAGACACACACACACAGACACACACACACAGACACACACGCACAGACACACACACAGACACACACACACACAGGCACAGACACACACAGACACACACACAGACACACACAGACACACACACAGACACAAAGACACAAAGACACACACACACAGACACACAGACACACAGACACACAGACAGACACACAGACACACAGACACACAGACACACAGACACACAGACACACAGACACACAGACACACAGACACACAGACACACGCACACACAGACACACGCACACACGCACACACACACGCACACACGCACACACACACGCACACACGCACACACACGCCCACACACGCACACACGCCCACACACGCACACACGCACACACGCACACGCACGCGCACGCGCGCGCGCGCGCACGCGCACCCGCACGCGCACGCGCACCCGCACGCGCACGCGCACGCGCACGCGCACCCACACGAACACAAACACAAACACAAACACGAACACTAACACAAACACAAACACAAACACGCGCGCACGCACGCACTTCGCGCCGCTTGTGCGTTCAATTTGTTTTCCACCTAGTTTCTTTCTTGCTTTTGTCTTTTGTATCAAGTCGATAGAACTCTCTTTGCAGCTTGTATTGGTTTCTGGCCGCTCTTCGTACGCAAAAAACCAAAATGGGGCTCCAAGCGACAAAAAAACTACAGGGGGAGCCTGGGCCAAAAAGAAAAGCAACACCAAAACCACAAATTTGAAAACCTTGACTCAAAACCTGAGGGTCTCGATGGCTTTTTGGGCCCTGAGCAATTGGTCGGGATTCTCCATTGGAGGGTCCGGGATTGTGCATTGGAGGGGTCATGACCCTTGGGGTGGAATGACGCCTTTTTTTTTTGTGGCCTAGCCTGCCTCAGGTTCCCTTAGTTGCTGTTTGGGATTGGTGCCTGGGCTTCCGTTTGCTTAATTATATTGAAATTGTCCTGTATATAGAGTCGCCGAAGGCGGCTATTTTCATTGTGTCTTCTCATGCATTTCTGGCTTTGCTAAACGGTGATGGCGACGGATGAAGTCCTGGGTTCGATGTGTAGCACGGTTCTTGGCATGTGTTCAGTTGTTCCCCGGGGGGTGCGCAGAACTTTGTATTTGGGCTGACGCAGGGTTGGCATGTTCAGGGCTCCTTGGCCAAGGAGTTCAGAGGGCGACCTGTTTGTTCAGCATCCGTTTCCGTTTTCGTTTGGCGGTTGTCCTGCAGGCATGACGTCAGGCCCAAAGGCTTCGTTATGGTTGCGTGTTTCTCAAAATGAGGGGGTTCTCCAGGCATGCGGTTTCCTTTTGCTTCCCTTCAAAGCCCATGCCAAAAGGGAGCCCCCTACATTGAAAAACCGAGGCAAGAAGTAGCGATTGGCAATCTTACCACAAGCCAACTCCTGGAAAAAAAGGAGCAAATGCTTGAGGTTTCCGAACACCAGCCGGATAGCGATTACATTTTGTTTTTAAAGTTTTGCGACTCCCAAAACCGTGATCTTCCTTTTGGTTTTGCCTTGAAACCAGTTTCACTTAATCCAAAAAGAACACAACAAACACAACAAAATCAACAACGCACACTCACATTTGCCTTGAGACCAGTTTCAGTTCATCAAAAGAAACCAAACACCACCACCCACACCGACGAACACCCCAACTTAATATATCGGAGCCTCTCGACCGGATCGAGACGTCGCTGGCGAAGGCTCGTAGCTGTTGCCAGGCAGAGCCGCGGGTCCGGAACTGCACCATCGTCGCCACGGTGGACGGGTTTCAGGGCAACGAGCGGCTCAGCGGGAAAAAAGAACTTGGACCCCGGGGTGGGGGTGGGGTGAGTGGGGTGGTGGGGTGGGTGGTGGGGTGGGTGGGGGTGAGCGGTTGGTAGGGTGAGCGGTTGGTTGGGTGGGGGGTGGGAGCCTTCCCGGAACTGGACCCACCGGGTCTGAAAGTGCCCCAAGGTCCGAAGGTCTGAGCTGGTTTCCCAAACCACAATTTCCCGTCAATCACCAGCAGGTGGTCAGAATGGAGCCGGATCGGAGCCAAGCTCGGAGCCAAGGAGCAAGGGGTACCCGAGTTTGCCTTTTTATAGAGGGAGCTAAGGAGCTACCAGCATATGGTAGGTCAGAATTCATCCGATTTCTACTTTGGTCGGGGCTTGGGTGGTTTCTGGAGAAATGACCCCTGGAAAGACATTAGCTACCCCTAGAACCGCAGCAATTGCTATGCGATTTGTCCCCAATATTTGGGTTCATAGGTGGAAGGACGCCTGATTGAGAGCAAGCGGGGCAGAAGCCAACAGCTTGTTACCAGGGCGCCAAAAAAAGATCTCCATTTTGCTTTCAACCATTTGACACATGTGGCTTTTTCAACACCAAAAAAAGGAAACACACCATTTGCAAGTTGCAATGTTCAGGTGTTTTTCATGTAAGGATCCCTGTTGTTTCAAACACGCGCCATTGCGGGAAAATTTGCAAGGGAATCATGTGTGGTACCCATTTAGCCTTCGTCGAATGTCCTGAGTTCCGTGTCGAACTCTAGTCGCTTTGTTGGTTTGGATCATTTTGGTAGATCGCCGTTTAATAGATTTTGGGACCCAACAAGTTGAATACAACTCACTTCCAAAAAATGAGAATTGAGTTGTATTCAACATGTTGGATCCCAACATCTTCCCGTCTGCTTCACTAGAGCTGTCGCGACGTCTTACGGTTCGGGGCCCGGCTGTTCAGCGCTCTTGCTACAGGTAGGGAATGCCCTTCCGGGTTTTAGGAATTCACCCTAAGGGGATTCCCTTAAAGGAGGAACCAGAGAGGGGATGTTTTTCTCGGTCCATTTCACATTCCCTGCCTATCGGACCAGCAAGTTAAACAGGTGCTGCAGGTGGTTGGAAGGCAGCCGCGCTCGGAGCTGGGGGTATCCAAATTTGCGTTCGTAGAGAGAGCCGGACTCGGAGCTACAATTGGAGTCCTGCAAAGGTCCAAACGCATAGGTGTCCTTTTTGGTTGGTTTGGGTAGAAAATCGAGGGCCCCGGTTTAGATGGTTTATTCCATTTAGGGAAATCTATTTTTCCAAAAGTCTACCTATGTTCCAAACGTGATCAGCTTTTCTTCCCAGGTCCCGCTTGGGACTCAGCATGGTAGGGCCCGCCCTTTCTCTACCAGCGCCGGTTGAAACGCAGGCGGGCGGGGTTAAGCCTGCAGATTCCGTCGGAAGGCGAGATGTCATCGTGATCTCCACTGTGCGGCGCCCGCCTTGGAGTGGTTTTTGGCGGACGGGCAACGGCCGTTTGACGGGAACGGACACCCACGAGCTGTTCTAGGTCCCTTTACCCTTTGTTTGGGGGGAGGGTTCCCCTACTAAAATAAACTACAGAAAGCAAGGGTACCCTATTTTTTAAAAGCCTCTCTACTGGAGGACCTAGTATTGGTTGGAAGGGAGCCAAGTTTGGGGTATCCAAATGTGCGGTCAAAGAAGGAGCCATTCAGATCTACCGATCGGAGTGCTGTGAGGACATGGTAGCCCACTTCCATGCTTGGAAATGAATTGGGACTTGGATCTTCGACCTGATGCTTTAGCTTATCAAGGTACGCTCACTAATTGTTACCCCACCAACCTGCCAGAAGAGACTTGGATCTGTAACCTTCTGTAGATGTTTTAGAAGTACACTGACTATTTTCCCAACCTGCAAAAAGGCTGGCGAGTGCACGGGGCAAAATGGAGAGTGCAAAGAGTTGAGATTTTGATGGTCAGGGAGCTATCATTTTCTTGAGAATATTGTTTGTTTTCCCTTGTTGGTGTTAAAAGGGGATCGATCACTACTGGACACATCTTCTCATTCTTTTCAGTGAAGGGGGGGGGTTGAGACCCAAATGGAAGCTTACCACCGAGTGGTTACCAACAACTTCCGAACTCGGCGAATCGAGCACCAGGGGGGGGGGAGGGGCGCGCAGCTCGAGCGCACCTCCTGAGCTCACCGGGGTAAACGAGCCTACCATGTCTTCACTGGAATGTGTTTTGGTTGTTATGTTTTTTCTTCCCCATTTCTTTCGGTTCTGTTCATGTTTCCTTGGGGGCCTGCCAACAAGACAGCGAATATTTTCTGGCCATGACCAGAACAGACTGCCCGCTGCACTGCTTCGCCGTGCACGGCTTGGCCCCGCAGCATGTTCGAGTGTTTCTGCTGCCAGGCCAAGGGGTTGGAAAGTGGCGAGCCGTTTCTCGGGTCCTTGGGCTCGTCTCAAACTTCTTCCACCTGAAGCAAGTCCTTCATTTTATGGCCCCCCTGGTTGTTTTTTTGGCCTCCCTGGCTTATTTTTGATGGTTAACCCTTGGTTTCTAAAGAATCCCAGCTCGGAGTTCAAGGGAATTGATCACTGGACGTAGTTTCTCACGTTTTCCAGGGGGACCAAACCTCATGGAAGATCCGGCCGGTCGGCTCGAGACCCCGAGACCCGATCCGAGGTCTGGGGGTAGCATTGGCTTCAACGGCGACGAGCGGCGCTTGAAGCTGGACAAGGTCTTTGCGGCGATTTGGGAACGGATTTTGGGACTTCTGCACTTTTTGTTTAAGAAACAGGTCGGAGTTGCCTCTTTCTTTTTTTTTTTGCGGAGGTCGACACGCCAAAGGAAGCCTTTTGTGGATGACTTTCTCCCTTGCCAAAGCGAATCGACCGAATAAATCGACATTTTGGTTTTCCTCCTTTATGGTTTCCATTGTTTGTCATGGCCCGCACAAGGTGATCACCTTCTATTTCCCGGGCCCCTTTGGGGGAAAATCACTTTCAGCTTATTTCAGCCTGGGTGTAGCTTTGTGACACTTGAAGGGAAACAAACGGACTCCCTTGCAGGACGCCCGGTAAACCATGATAATTATCTTAGTAGAACCAAAAGTCTATGTTTTGGTCGCTGCCCGATTGTTGGACAAGCCTGTATTGGCTTGTGGTTGGAAGCGAGACTCTTTGAGATAAGGTATTCGAAGCTACCAGGAGTTTTGTGACGACATGGCACTTGGATGTTCAACCAACTCAGTAAGTAGGTTACACCCATGGATATCACTGGGGCAACTGGGGTTAGTCCCCTTGTTCCCAGGGTTACAAGCTACTTCCCACGGTAGTTGAACCACCCCCAGCACGCTAGTAGTCATATTCTTGTTTGAGGTTGCCCATGTCTTTGGTTGGAAAGGGAAGCCACCAGGACACCAACTGTTAAAGGGCATCCAGTGATGATTATTCTGTTTGAGGCTACTCGTTTTTCCCCCCAACTGCTGAAAGCTTTGGGGTCTCAGCCCAGATAGGCTCCGGGGTGGTCCGGGGCGGCCCTGAGGCAAGGTTCCACGAGGGTTCCGCCAGGGTTGCACAGGTTCTGCGAGGGCTGCGGGATGAAGAGCACCGCATGCTGTTGGGGATATCATCTGAGCTTATTTTTTGGTTTCGGAGGGAAACCACAAGGAAACCAGCTGTTAAAGGGAAACGATTGGAGGTCTAAACCGCCCAGGAACGTGGCCGTCACGCGGGCCAAGCACCGTGCATGGATCGTGGGGGATATGGAGACGCTCTACGCCGCGCAGTCGAAAGGCCCGGCTCACCGGAACCCAGGGGGTTCGGTCAGGTTTCAATTTGATTTAGTATTGGTAGACTTGAGTTTTCATTTGATTTAGTATTGCTGGAGCTTCCTTTTGAAATTTGGAACTGGGTTTCCAGTTGATTTAGTGTTGGTAGACTTGAGTTTCCATTTGATTTAATATTGCTGGGGCTTCCTTTTGTTTTTCTTGGGGGGGCAAGGCAACAAGACTTTATTTTGGGGGCCCCTGAAATAATGTCAAGTTGGGGGCTGAAGTACTACCCCCTTTGTGGGTTTGATGGTGGGCAGGTTTTAAACAAGAGACATGTAAGAAAACATGGGTTTGGTAAAGCTGACAATTAGGATTCAAGAAACAAGGTACCAAAGATCCAAGGACCAGGTGTTGGCTTGGCTATCTCTCCTCTCTTTTCTCTCTTTCTTTTCCTTTTTTTTCTTCTTCTTTTGGGGTGGGGATTTTTTGGCGCGGGTGGCGGGTGCTTGTCTTTAATCCATGTGCATGTATTAATCTTTTTGGGCCCCCCATTTGTCTTTATGACGCGTGCATTTCTTAATCCGATTTGGACATTAACTGCTAAAATTGAAATTTTGCCCCGCTTCCAACGTCAACCAAGATTGGTTAACCCTACAAATATTTTTCGACGCCATAGAAACCGGGCTCACTCGCGCTCGCGCTGGCGCTCGGAGAAACCCCGCCTCGCAGGCAACGTGTGGCGGGATCTGCTGGCCTTCGCGTGGGCCAGGGGCTGCGTGGTGGTGGTTGGGAAGCATTTTTCCAATTTTTGCTGGTGGTTTAGTGCTTGAAATCCAACCACCTACACAGGGCTCCAGAAAGAAAAAAAACATCTTGAACCACCACTTGAAACATGTTGCTTTTTTCAACATCAAAATAGAGTTGGAAACCACCGTTTACAAGTTGCAATGCTCAGGTGTAGAATGCATCCGGATCCCTGCCAAAACTGCCATTGTTCCCGAAAGCATGGCGAAGGGTTCTTCCGCTGGGTTCACTTGAATTGTTCTCATGAGAGTCATTACAAGGTGTCATTGCAAGGAATCATCATCATGAAAGTCAATGCAAGGAGTCATTGCAAGGAGTCATTGCAAGGAGTCATTGCAAGGAGTCATTGCAAGGAGTCATTGCAAGGAGTCATTGCAAGGAGTCATTGCAAGGAGGCAAGGATTGCAACTTGCACTTGACTCCTTGCACTTGCAACTTGCACTTGACTCCTTGCACTTGCAACTTGACTCCATGCACTTGCAACTTGCACTTGACTCCATGCACTTGGCTCCTTGCACTTGGCTCCTTGCACTTGGCTCCTTGCACTTGGCCCCTTGCACTTGCAACTTGCACTTAACTCCGTGCACTTGCGACTTGCACTTGACTCCATGCACTTGGCTCCTTGCAACTTGCAATGGCTCTCATGACTCCTTGCAATGACTCCTTGCAATGACTCCTTGCAATGACTCCTTGCAATGACTCCTTGCAATGACTCCTTGCAATGACTCCTTGCAATGACTCCTTGCCATGACTCCTTGCAATGACTCCTTGCAATGACTCCTTGCATGACTGCTTGCAATGACTCCTTGAAACAAGCAAGGAGTCAAGTGCAAGTTGCAAGTGCAAGGAGTCAAGTGCAATTGACTTGCGAGGAGTTAAAATCTCTTCTTAGGGCGGCGGGGTAGTGCCGACGACACTACACGAAAATCGACCCTCTGCGGGGATCGGCGTGGTCGAGGTGCAAAAACCCATGGTTTTTTGCGATTTCTGCGGTGCTCGCGCGACCCTCTGCGGGGATCGGCGTGGTCGAGGTGCAAAAACCCATTTTTTTTTTTGCGATTTCTAACCTGCTCGCGCGACCCTCTGCGGGGATCGGCGTGGTCGAGGTGCAAAAACCCATGGTTTTTTGCGATTTCTAACCTGCTCGCGCGACCCTCTGCGGGGATCGGCGTGGTCGAGGTGCAAAAACCCATGGTTTTTTGCGATTTCTGCGGTGCTCGCGCAACCCTCTGCGGGAATCGGCGTGGTCGAGGTGCAAAAACTCAAGGTTTTTTGCGACTTTTGTTGTTCGAACTGGTCCTCGGGAGTTGTCTCGTGGTTCGCGCGCCTGCTCCCGGAACCGGCGGGTCGCGGGTTCGATTCCTCCCTGGTCCGCGGGCGGGCGTCGCAAGATGCAACTTGCATTTTACAGCAACTTGCGCAGAGCAACTTGCGCAGAGCAAGTTGCACAGAGCAACTTGCGCAGACCAACTTGCACCGACCAGTTTGCGCAGAGCGCCTTGCCTAGAGCAACTTGCGCAGAGCAACTTACGCAGAGCAACTTGCACAGAGCAACTTGCACAGAGCAGCTTGCACAGAGCAACTTGCAGGGAGCGCAATTTGCACAGAGCAACTTGCAGGGAGCCACTTGCAGGGACCAACTTGCCGGAGCAACTTGCGCGGAGCAACTTGCGCAGAGCAACTTGCACAGTGCAACTTGCGTAGAGCAACTTGCGCAGACCAACTTGCACCGACCAGTTTGCGCAGAGCACCTTGCCTGGTGCTGTCTCGCGCTTGCTTCACGAAGTGTAGGGAAAAAGAACGCATCCTGCAGCGTTGGGCCGACCTCGCTTGCGATGTTCTGCTTTCGGGCCAACCGTGGTCTAGGTTTTTTCCTCCAACCAAGGCTGGGTCTTGCCGGCCCTCACAGAGAAGCCGCTGGCGCCGCCGCCGCGGAAGCTGCCCCGCGCGCGCCCGGAGAGGCGAAACGGACGCGCCGAAAAGCGGGGTGGATGGGGGAGATAGATGGGCTCGGTATACGGGGGGGGGGGGGGTCGTTTTTTGTGGGTGCCCGTGCTTTGTGCGTGTGGTGTTTGAAGGGCAACCAAAAGGAAAAACACAATTTCGGGGTCCCCCCCCCAAAGAAAAAAATCAAAAACACCCAGGATCTGTGTTTCTAAACCTTGGTTGAAACATCGAAGCCAGCATTCCGATGTACAACTTAGGGGTGCCAATTTGCGGTGAAGGGTAACAAGATTGGGGCATGCCCCTTGAAGATCAAACACCACATCGATGTTGGGGGGAAAAGGGGGGTCCCCGAAGGCTGCCTCAGAACCCTAAATATCCCCACCACAAAAAAACACCAAATGTTATCCCCGGATTTATGAACCCCTGGTTGATAACTAGGGTGGTGTCCCCTTTTAGTGGGGATTCAGAGCACTTTTGGAGGGGTTATGGGACGGGTTTGTTAATCCTGGGTCCCCCCTTCCCACATCCCTGTTTCGGGATCCATAACCTGAAGCGTGTCGTTGCCAGGTGGTGGAGCCCACTCATGCGTCAGGAGTGGGAGGACGGGGTCTCAGTTCTCAGGAAAGGGCTTCTCTCGGTGGCCTGGGGCCCGGCGGTTTTCGTTTGGAGCTACTTTTGACTCCCTGAGTTCAACATTCCGGGTGAATTCTCACGACCTCACACGACCAGAATTCACCCCAATTGGTTGATGTGGGGAAGGACTAACCCCAAACACCGCAAGTTTCAGGTGGGTGAAATATGAGAGTTCACTCAGAACAGTTTGTCTTCCGTACCTTGTTGGGAAGACCCTCTTAGTGGAAAACAAGAAGTTCGGACTTCTTTGGCCCATCCACTCAGAAAGTGAGATTTGTGTTTCTCCTTATTGCCCTATTTGTTCACATCCATCGTTTTCAACCTTTCAACTTTGGCTTGCCAAATTGTATTGCAAAGGCCATTCACAGGCTGCTTGGTAAAGTGTGTCCCTGGCAGTGATATGCCACCATTGGTGGGGAACTCGGTCAACCATGCCTGACTCGCACTTTCTGTCAGAGGCAAAACGTACTAAGCTCAACGGACACACTTTGCAATTTGTACAGCTGAGTCAGGAGAGGCCCGAAATGGAACATGGCACGGCGCAAACCGCTCCCAGCTGTTCAGTAGCACCCTTGTGGCTTCACACAGGGAATCACCCAGCCAAAAGTATTCAAAGGTTTCATGTTTGTTTTCTACCAGCGCTTCATTCAGCTTCCTCCCCCCCCTAATCAATGACCACCTGAGCGGAGGGCAAAACCTCTCAAGACCAGTTTAGTAAAGGGGCGCCAATATCGGACGGTCCGCGTAAGGTTTTTCCTTTTTGTGCGTAAGCTTGCGTAAGCACGCGCGTAAGCATGTTGCAAATATTGCGCGCGTAAGCCCGCGCGTAAGCACGAAGCGACCAAATGCTGACTAGGGCCACAGCGAGCTATCTCCAGAGGCGTATAAGACCCACCACTGGGAAAAACGATTTAGTTCGGCGAGCTAAATCCTTTTTTGTGCTTGCTTCAAAAAACGCGAGGTATCCCCACTTGCCGGGAGGGCCACAGCGAGGTATCTGCAAGGCTCGAAACAAACTGCGCGGCAATAGAGCCACCAACGGGAAAAACGGTTTAGTTCTAAATTTCTTTTTTTGCGCTTGCTTCAAAAGCTGAAAACAAAGTCACAGCAAGTCACAGACGGCTGTTTTTTGGGGGGCAGTCCAGCTGCAAGAAGCAAAGCTGGAGGTGCGGAAAAGACCGGGGCGCTCTCAGCCAAAAGGCAAGTCATCGGCAGCCTTTGCGTAAGCTGCGCGTAAGATGTGAGAATCCAAGTGCGCGGCGCGTAAGGTTTTTCAAGTGCAGCGTAAGCGACGCGTAAGCTGTCGCGTAAGCTGTTTTGATACCGGCAAGAAACACACAAACGGTTTTGCCCTCCGCTCACCTGGTCTTTCCCCCAACTCAGTTGTTCAGTGGCGCCCCTTTTCCTTCTTTTTTGTGGGTGGCTGCCGCACTAAAAAAGGTCTTCACAAAAAAGGGTTCCTGAACAACTGAGCCAATGACCACCTGGTAGGCTGCTGCTTGGCATTTGCGGCACCACGTCAGGAGCAACGGCCGCTGGGCTGGATGCGGTCCTTGGAGCGGCCGGACTTTGGGAGGCATCCCTACTGCAGCTCGGAGGCTGTGTTGGAGGCTGAGCCATTTGTTGGGTAGGTGGTTTGGAGGTGTTCGCAGGGGTGGCTTCCCTTTTGCCCACAAGAGCCAGTTCTTCCAGATTTGCGGAAAAGATTTTTTTTAATGTTTATCTGTTGGCTTCAAAGGGAATCAATTTCACTGCTGGACATAGTTGCTCGTTTTGGCCAGGGGTGAAACAAGCAAATGGAAGGAGGGGTTGTAGCCCAACCCTCCCTCCGCAGGAAATTTATCCAAACCAGGTACCCTCCGACATGCCTTAGGTTAGTGGAAGAAGGGTGACCATCTGGCTTGGTAGGGCCTGTCTTAAAAGGGAGTTGCCGCCAATTTTGTTAGCAAAGGGGAAAAACACAGTGTTTGGCGTTTTGTCTGGCACCACTTCGGCTTAAATTACTTGATCGATTAATTGATGACCCCCCTCTACTCCACCAGACGGCGGGCTCGGTGTGGGGGCTCATGATTCCAAGAGCATGCGTGCGCGTGTGCGAGTGCGAGTGCGAGTGCGTGTGCGTGTGCGTGTGCGTGCGTGCGTGCGTGCGTGCGTGCGTGCGCGCGCGCGCGGGTGGGTGGATGGGTGGGTGACTGGGTGGGTGTGTGTGTGTGTGTGCGTGCGTGTGCGTGTGCGTGCTTGTGCTTGTGCTTGTGCTTGTGCTTGTGTTTGTGCTTGTGCTTGTGCTTGTGCTTGTGCTTGTGCTTGTGCTTGTGTGTGCGCTTGTGTATGTGCGCGTGCGTATGTTTATATGTGGGTGTGCTTGTGTGTGTATGTCTATGTGTGTATTTGTGTGTGTGTGCATTTGTGTGTGTATTTGCGTGTGCGTGTGCGTGTGCGTGTGGGTGTGTGTGTGTGTGTGTGTGCGTGCGCGTGCGCGTGCGCGTGTGCGTGTGCGTGTGTGTGTGTGTGTGTGTGTGTGTGTGTGTGGGTGCGTGTGTGTGTGCGTGTGCGTGTGCGTGTGCGTGTGCGTGTGCGTGTGCGTGTGCGTGTGCGTGTGCGTGTGCGTGTGCGTGTGCGTGTGTGTGTGTGTGCGCGCGTGCGCGTGCGCGCGCGCGTGCGCGTGTGCGTGTGCGTGTGCGTGTGCGTGTGCGTGTGCGTGTGCGTGTGCGTGTGCTTGTGCGTGTGCGTGTGTATTTTGTGTGTATATATTTACGTATACGTGTGTGTGTGTGTGCGTGTGAGAAACCCAGGTTTCTGTGTTCGGTGGCGCCTAAGAAAACAAATGGCGCAACCATCCACAACACACCAGCAGCCAGCCCATTCGAGGCAGCCTTTGCGAGAAGCTGGCGGAGGATGGGCACCTCGAGAGCAAGCAGCACCGAGGCAACAAGCGCCGGGAGCGGCAAGTCATGACCTTGACACGGCCAGTGAAGGCGGGGCCCGGCTTGGAACTCCTGAAATGTGCGCCGGAAATCAGACGATGTGTTTTCCATTCCCCGGGTTTTTTCATCTTCACTGGACAATATGCTCTGATCCTTTTTCAGAGGACCTAGAGAGCGTGATCCCCATGAAAAAGGACACAACTTGTTCATTCTCTGCAGTTTGCCTACAACAAGGTCACGTACGCAGAGCCCCGGAGTAAAGTACCTTCAAGTGAAAAACTGACACAAGCCTGCCCAACGTGAGGAACCCGCCAGAAAGCCCCTTGGGAGGAAAATTGTATGAACATTGTCTTCCAGCAGCAGGTTTCATGGCAAGTGGGTGAGGTAAATTCGGAGTGGCGATCCGGAGGTCGCTGCCAATTTCGTGATTCGGGATTTAATCACATTTCGGGATTTAATCACATGTTCGGGATTCGGGATGCGGGATGCGGGACTGGGATGGCCCCATCCTCAGATCCGGGATTCGGGATTCGGATTCGCGCGCGAATCACATTCTCGACCAGGTTCTCCGGATCACGTCTCTAAATTCGGGTCTCCGTTTTTGTACTTAAGGTTTGCAAAATGCAAGGCGAGGGGCGACCTTGGGAGATCTCCATGGCAGCAAGCTTCCCTTCAAAGACTCTCAACTCGAATTAGGCGAATCCACATATAGCTCTTTGGGGGTTGTGCGAAGCTGTTTCTTTTTGTGGCAATCAAGTTTATGCACTTGTTTTCACAAATCCACTTGGGAGAAGAATCAAATGTAAAAGCAACTGAAAGGAAGCAAGACGGAGGATGAAATTCACTGGAACAAATGTTCTCTCATTTTTCCGGAGGACTTTAAGCAAGTGGACTCAGGAGCCCCAAGAGCCGAGAGCGAAGGGGCTTTTAGTCCAGGGGGCCAATGGCGCTTCGGGACACCAAGCCGTTCGGGGCCGCCCCAAAATTTGGAGAAGAACCCCTGGCCTAAGGGTCATGACCCCGGACCCTGCAATGGAGAACCCCGACCAATTCCTCGCCCTTGAGAACAACCAGTTTTAAAGGCCCAAAAACAATCGAGCTGCACGGGTGACTGGATTTGTTGGCAACCCAAAAAAGGCCCTGGATTGCCCTTTTGCCAGACATGCCAAAAGTGGCATGAGTGTCCTTTCAGTTGTCGCTTCAGTTAAAAGGCTCCCTCTGTTTGTTTGCACAAGCCTCACTTATTAATTTTTAGACTTCAGTCACTCTGTGGGTTTGGACCAGAGTGGCAAACAACAAGTTTGGGAAGATGGTTTCTGGCCCATCCACTCAAGTAGAAGCCCTGGTCTACCTGGATGTGATCGATTTCCGAATTTGAGCAGAAAAGGAAGTAGTTCTCATTGAAGGGACTCCACTGCACTGGTGTTGCCTGAGTCGTGGTTGGGAGCGTGACGTTGGATTCCCCGCTGAACAGAATCGGCTTTCAAGGGAAGAGCCTAGGGGGTTGGGGTAGTGAAGGGGGGAGGGCGGGTAGATTTTCCCAGCCCAAGCTGTTGCCTTTCCCTCCCTTTGTCTTTATTCTCTTGCTGTTCTGAACTCATTGCCCAAAGCCATCCTTTTGAACCTTTGGTTTTCGGTTTTTGGTCCATGTTCATGGCCCCAAAAGGTGATGATTTGTTTATTTCCTGGGTGGAATCCGTTGGGCCAGGTTGGTTTCCTCAAACTTGGTTGCGTTCCTTTTGGGTTTTTGAAGCCCCCTTTTTGGTCTGTGAGGGGAAACTGAACGGAAAGCCACCTTTTTGGGGAACCCTCAACAAAGACGCAGCCTTGTGTTTCCCTTAATGCGGAAGCTTCCCCTCACACCACAAGGGTGTAAAACTGTGTTGCTTTCAACTCCCCGCATGGGTGTTCGTTGTCATTTGTGCGTTGTTGGCAACCTGGGTGACAATCCCCTCATACGTTGCCCCAAGTGGAATCAACCCTGTTAGTGGTTTATAACCCAGGTTGCTAACCGCTTGCTGACTTGGCGAATCGAACATCCAAACATCCCTTGGTTGCCAATCCAACTTGGGCCCAGGGCTTTTTCGTCTCTCTGCCCAACGAACCGCCGGGCGGCTTTTCCTTGACCTCAACGCGCAAGGGCCTGCGGGTGGCGCAAATCGAGGCCAACTCGGGGCTGAGCCACTGGAATGCGCCTTGAACCCACGGCGTGGGCGGTTGGGGCCCGTCTTCATTGCCAGGCTTCACCGGCCCTTTGTCCTTTTGGTGATGCAATGTCTGAAGCGAATCAGTTTTATTGTCCCTTCTTGTTTTTTTTTGGGGTTTTTAAATCTAGCACTACTTGTTTTTTCTCAGAGAACAAAAAAAGCAAATGGCGGTTTTAAATCAACGTCACTGTTTGGATCCAAGGGCTGTGTGGCCAGGGGACAAAGGGCGAGACTCTTTGCTTGTGGCTGAGGTGAATGCCACCAGACTTTGGCAGGGCAAGCCCGGGATAAGGCTAAGGCAGCAAGATGTCAGCTTTCGAAGTCTCGTCTAGGCTTGGGGTTGGGAATGTCTGAGCCAGACCTTCCTGTTGGCGGGCCATTCGAAATAAAGAAGGGCAGAACCAGCGGCCGTTGCACGAAGCGACAGCAGACACAGAACCCTGCATCCCATTTGTGCAGGCTTTGTGCTGGCAGAGTTGCTCGGTTGTACAGACTTGTGACGTCTCCGCGGAAGTGAACGAGTGACAACTCTATGAAACTGACCGGCCAATCCGTGCTGCTCAGATGTTGGCACACGCCTCGGATTTTTCCGGTTGGCGCCCCAAATCCCGTGACATACTGTCGACTGACGAAGTCCATTTCGCACCACCGTCCAGCAACCCTGGAATGGTTCGATCCCCCCCATGTAAATACATATATTTGCCTTTCCAAGTCCTTCCTCG